AGCTTCATGCTGATAAGCCAAGCTCCTCTTCCCATCCCAGACCTCTTTCCTGAGCACTAGGTTCGTATATGCAGCTCTCTTCTTCATCTCTATTCAGATGTCTAATAGGCACATTAAACTCAACATTCCAAGCCCAAACAAACTTTTGATCTCCCCTTCCTAACTGCCCCTTTACCCCTCTCCCACAATCCCAATTCTGGCCCATGGTCGGGCTCATTTTCATTTCAGTAAATGAAAACTCCATCCGGTGAGTTGCTCAGAAAAAGAACCTTGGAGTCATTGGCTCACTTGCAACCTTCAGCAAATCCTATCAGCTGTATTTTTAAAATATATCCTCGTCTGACCGCCTGCCATCCTCGCCACTGCTACCATCTTGCTGTGAATCACCACCATCTTTCACTCGGATCACTGCAGTTGCTTTCTAACAGCTCCATCTGCTTCTGCCCTTGCCTGCAACCTCCTCTTCCCAATCGTCTATTTTCAACCTAGCAGCCCGAGTGATTCTTTTACAGTGTAAGTCAGATGATGGCACTCTTCTGTTCCAAACCCTAACAGCTTCCTACCGCACTCACAGTAAAAGCCAACACATCATTACAGCAGGCTTCAAGGTCGCAGCCTCTTAGATTAAACCTCTGACCCCACCTCCTACTCTTCCCCTTGCTCATTCCCTTCAGCCACACTGGCCTTTCTGCTGTTCTTCCAATGCCAAGCACACTCCTCCCTCTGGGTTTTGCTCTTAGATTCCCTCTCCTGGAAGGCTCTTCTTGCTCTCACTCTTCCCTTAGCTCTGTCCTTAAATGCTACCATCTTATTGAGGAATTCCACAAAAACTCCAAAACTGAAGGTTACATTCATTATACCCTGGTGCACTCAATTCTCCTTCCCATGCCTAATTTTTTACCATAGCATATACCTTTATCTGACATACATATATATATTTTACTTATGTCTGTCTTGCCCCACAATAATGCAAGTTCCATGAGGGGAGGATCTACAGAGGATGCATGCTCAATAAATATTTGTTGAATGAATGAATGAATGAATGAATGAATAAAGGCAGGAACACAAAGGTGATATGTGTTAGAACTCCCCTCACCACTCCTAAGCCTTAGCTTTCATTTCCTTACCTTTGTCAGATTGAGGAATGAGAGATACCATTCTCAGGAAAACAAAAATAAGAAGAAAATCAAAGAAGATGACACCTTGAAGGAGGAAAGCAGAAAATAGAAGTGACAGGAGAGATAAAGGAGAAAAGAGAGTCAACAGTAATGAGAGAGACAGACACAAAGAGGAAATGGGGGTGGGGGAGAGAACTAGGAGGAAAACTCTGGAATATTCTTTCTGAGTAATGGCCTCACAAACTATAAACACTGCCAGGTCCACCGTGGGAACTTCAGTGCCCACTCAGACTCCTGAGATACGCCAGACTGTTCCCCGTGACTCAGCTCTGGAGAAGTGACAGCTCAGGGCAGGATGATCTCTGATGACAGGAATTAAAAAGCACACTGATAAAGCCTTCCACTTTTCAGTTAATCCCAGCAATTTCCCAGGACAAAGCCTCTTTTTGAGTTTGAAAATTAATCTTGGAGTCAGAGGGTGAGAACCACAGCAGAGGTCATTACCACAGGGCACAGGGTCTCTGCAATTCTGGTGATCACAGGCCATCTTGACCCTTTGCTCACCCAAAGTTTATCCTCCTATTAGAGATTAGAGGGAGCACAGGTGTGTATAAAAAGAGACAACTTCACAACACCCTGAGCAGAAGAACGAACATAAACGGAGTTACCCCAGAGCCCTCATTTCTTTATTACAGAAAGGGCGCTAATTTTCCCACTGGCCAGAACGGCTACGGAAGAGAAAAACCACAAGCATCTTGCAATTTCTTGTTAAATAAGTTTTCTGACACATGGTGACTGGTGATTAATTACTGTGTTAGAAGATAACATTCCTATAGAGATTGGCCGGAAATACAGCTGCTGTACATGCTTGATTAGACATTGCCTAAGGAATGCTGAGGCACACAGCCCCAGTCTATCATTTCTGGCTATTTTGGTACTGCTGTTACATTTATTTTACATAGCTTCAAGTTCAGGAGAATTGATGGAGCCCATTTCACAAAACTGTCCCTACCGAAATGGGAGCAGAAAAAGGATAAGGCTGTAAAGTGTGTCTATGTCGGTGTGTGTGTATGAGGGCAAGAGAAAATGAGGGACAAGGCCTGTGAAGAGTAGGGATACATTACTCCTCTCTGTAACACTTTCCACTCTACAAAGAAAGGACTGCAAGGGAGATGATTGGTTTCTTATAAGCCTAGAAGGAAACTGACCCATGTCGGCTGATTAAAACTTTCAGGGCATTGATGATAAAACTGAACTTTGGCGTTATCCAAGCCCTTCACCAACACCAAACAAAGCCTGGATTTGGTCCCTGTTCATTAGTCCAATACACACGATGAGCACTTACTCTGGACCAGGCACTGAGGAAACAGACAGGAAGAGTCTCGGCCCCTTGAGCTTACAGTGTGGTAAGGAGATGTCTTCTGACCCAGGATGGGAAGGACAGAATCACCCAATGCCATGCACTTACACTAGCCTACTTCCTAACCCACCAAGAGTGGAGAGTAACAACAAGCCATGCCTGTCCCACATTTCAGCTTACACCCACCGCCCTGGACTTCAGTCCAGGTCCAGCTGGGAAAGGCATGCCTCGGTTGCCGTTCCATTATTTCACTCAGGCCACCGAAGCCAACTCCAATACTGCCCAGTCAGCATTCAGTATTCAGATGCCAGTTTTTTCTAGTGTGTGTTTGAGCCCCATACTGTCTGCCAAAAACTGTGTTAATTTACTTACTTCAGCTAAATAAAAAAAATCATTTAAAAAGGATGATTGGATTTAGGAAAATATATTCCTCCGAGAATTAGTAATGCTTTTCTCTATCCCTCAGGCCTCCACGTTCTTATGTTCCCCTTGTCAATGTTATTATGAGACTAATTCAATAATGAGATCATTCCCCATAGAGCGGCCAAATAAATGCAGCATTCAGTCACACCTGGTTTCTCTAATCTGGGCAAGAAAGGCTTTCCACCAAATTTAGCCTAAAATAGGGAATTTAATGAACACACACACACACACACACACACACACACACACACACACTCACACATGCAGGAAAAAATAAGACAGGGAAGGAGGACAGAGAAGCAGAAGAACAGGGCAGCAGTGGAACAAATGCAGTGACAGATTGGAGAAGAAAGGTTAAACACGAAGATATATGACTATGTGATTCCAAAGCAAAGTTCCTAGCATACGTCTTAATAATTGTCAAGGTAATATAATACTTCATCGTTCCTTAAATGTCTCGAGAATTGTTTCAAATTTTCTTGAACTTCTTAGGGAATCAAAATATCAAGCGAAAAGACACAGAAGTACTAAATATGAGGCAGGAACACTCTGGATTATTAAAAACAAATGACTTCTTAGCCATAAAGGAGTCTGTGGAATAATTCAGCTAGATATAAGCTTAGCACTGAGAAGCCATAATCATCATCTATCCTCTTCAAAACTGGTTAAACTTTCATTAAAACACCGAAGGTCTGATGACTGAAGCAAGGTATAAATGGTGTTGAGACCTCATAAAGAGAGAATAAAATTAACTCGCAAATTTGAAAAGACACGTTATAAAGACACATTAAACACTGAAATCAGCAAACCTAGAAAAGAGGAAGTGCCATTTAAAAGCAGCAGCTTCAATTACAGGAAAAGGAGGGGAGGCAGGTTTCCTTTGGGACGAGATGGAAGAGACGAGGAAATAGGTTCATGTAAAAACACATTCAATACCTGTTGTTTACAATGAGAGAAAAAAAGGGAAAACCCAATGTCTGCAAATTTGCAAGTTATTAAATAAATAAATTATGGTTCATTTACAAGAAATTAAAAGTAATATTTTCAAGGAATATTAGTAAATATGGGAAAAAACATGTTTTCAAAGAGTATAATGATCTGATATGGAAAAATACAATTAAATGAATATAAAGCCACATTAACATAGTTTTAATTTTGTAAAAAGAAATTGCATGTATACGCATGTACAAAAACTCCCCTACACACAGAATACGTGCACAAAAACCAGGAGAAAGTATACCCAATATCACGGTCTCTAGATTAAAAGTTTACAAGTAATGTTTATAATCATCTTTGTATTTTATATTACATACTAGAGGCCCGGTGCACAGATTCATGCATCAGTGGTATCCCTTAGTCTGGCCTGCACCCTCTCGCAATCTGGGACCCCTCAGGGTATGTCGGACTGCCGGTTTCAACCTGATCCCTGCAGGCCAGGCTGAGGGCCGCATTGGTGCTATCTATATAGATGTTATGCAATAGCATATAATACGTTTATAACCCCCCCCAAAAAAAGTTAGTAAAGTTTTGCAGCAAGAAAAACTTACTTAAACAATAGGAAAAATTACCTAATGGATGTTTTGTTTCCAATAGAATTTTATAGAATATCTTTCTTTATGACTGATGAAAACCTATTTTATTTATTTTTGCTTTTTAAAATTTGAGATATAATTGATATATAGCATATTAGTTTCAGTTGTACAACATAATTATTCGATATACATATGTATATATTGCAAAATGATCACACTAAATTTAATTAATATTAAGCAACTCTTTAACTTTTTCTTTTTAAAATATTTTTTCCCCATTGATTTCAGAGAGGAAGGGAGAGGGAAAGAAAGATTTTAAAAAAAATCAATGATGAGAGAGAATCATTGATCGGCTGCCTCCTGCACGTCCCACCCTGGGGATTGAGCCCACAACCCAGGCATGTGTCCTGACTGGGAATCAAACTGTGACCTCCTGATTCATGGTCGATGCTCAGCCACTGAGCCACACTGGTTGGGCTAAACTAACTTTTTAAGAACCAATAATCTACTTTTAAAAATGACTCATAAGCTTTGGTACAAGGAACTGAGCCAAATTGTCCCTCTTACCTTGCAAAGTCCAGGTCTGCCTCCCGTGACATGGTGATGTTGGTTAAATTCTGCTGAAGAACAAAAATGTTCCTGCACATTTTCTTGATGCCAGACTCACTGATGCGCCGGAAGTACTGGGCACCATTAATGAGGATGCAGGAGATCAGGTGTCCTAGGCCTGATGGATAGGCACAGGGTTGGGGAGACAAGAAACAATTGATTAGTGACCTCTTACATAAACTGACACACAGGATTTCTCTCTTCTAATCCTCCACCATTTAAATGACCAAAGAATACACATCTCTGATGGCTGCACCAGCTAATGTCACAATGATTTCAGAGCTGCCCTGGTACTGAAAAATGGGGAGACTTTGCTGGCAACAAAACCTGGTAAATCCACAGTTCTAGCACAACCACATACACCCAGTCATGCCAGGGCATGGAGAATATGCCAGGTTTCATAAACTATTACAGTGCAGGAACTCTTTTTCTATAGAGGTATGTTGGGAGTGGAGAATACATGTAAATACAATGACGTGTTTGACCTCCTCTTTCTCCCACAAAACATAGGAGTACACACTACCTCAAAAGTTGCTTTGGGACCTACCTAAGCAAAAATAAATCAATAAGAAATTGGGCTATTGGCACTGATGCTAATACATCTCAATACTGACAATGGAGTATATTTCTGAAGTAGCAATTGGAGAAAATGTAAGCAAAAGCAAAGTGTGAAAGAAAAGCAGATCATGTATAACTGTTGAGTTCCTCCAAGATAGCTATGGGCATTTCTAGAGTCTGATAAGTGGTTTGTTTTTGTCTCCAAAGGGCTATCTTGAGGTCTACGAAACTGACCAAGAGCCGGTGAGAACATCAACTACAGGTCCCATTCAGGGTATCCTATGTAATTGAGTTCAGAACAACCTGAGGCACATGTAGATTTCCATTTCAAGAAGCCAGATTCTAATTCTAAATACTTGGAATTAAGTAAACTTCTAGGTCTTCTTTTTCCTTTTTTCTTGCAGAGTTGGACTCTAGCAGGCTGTTTCCCAGAACTTGAGTGCTAGTCTGACTAGTCCAGAGCGGTCTGCTGTCTTTGTTACTTTCCTCTTCTGAAGGCATAGTCCCTCCATGGTGACTGTGGCTCAAGTCAGAGCTTAGGGTGCGTCTTTGGGTGTAATGGCTCCCTCTGTCTTCAAAATGAGTTTCCCCTCCATTAGGATGAAGGTGGCAAAGGGAGAGGAAGGTGTGTGCTCTCTTGTTCTGCTATACTCACCAACATTGCTTCCAGCCCATAAACCCACTTGCATGTGCTACTACTTGAAAGTAAGGAAAAGACACACAGGGATTTTACATTAATGCCAGACAACTGACTTCTGTGAAAAATCTCCGTAGGTCAAGTTTCGGCTGCTACTCCTGAGCCCGTACCTCCAGGTATAATTCTGTTCTGCCATTTGCAGTAAATCCTAGTGCAGGCAATGGGTGCGGGCAAGTGGATTGTTTGTAAAGAATAATAAATACTGCCCGCCGGTGTGGCTCAACGGTTGAGCATCGACCTATGAACCAGGAGGTCATGGTTTTGTTCCTGGTCAGGGTACATGCCCCAGTTGCAGGCTTGATCCTCACTAGTGGGCGAGCAGGAGGCAGCTGATCAATGATTCTCTCTCACCATTGATATTTCTATCTCTCTCCCTTCCTCTCTCTCAAATAAATAAAAACACATATAAAAAAGAATAGTAAATACTAATAAATATATTACATAAAAATTTATGTAATAAATAATAATAATAATAATAATAATAATAATAAAACCAATTAGAAGCTGGTCTGCTTTATGTTATCACTACACACCAGCAATTCTAAACCACAGGTGGGATGAAGTACTTCCCTCCGGCCACCCATGGAAGCCTGAGACCTTGTCCCCTCCTCCCCCAGCTTGGGGAAACTCAATATTATACCTTTTGAATTTAGAAAATGACATTGGAGAGAAATAACTGGCTTTTAAAACATAAAGTCTTAAACTTTCCTAGTTAAAATTAATTCTAAGTCAGAGGATCAGGCCTGTATTTTGAGACGTGGTCTCCCAGCAGGATTACATGTGAAGAAATGCCTGGGCACAATGAGAGGAAAACTCTGGGGAAAAGAATGTAGGGCTTGGGAGAGCCCCGGTGAAAGCCAGAGAGGACACTGTGCAGGAGGGAGAAGGGAATTCTCAGATGGGCACCTCAAATTCAAGCTACAGAGCGTGACTGCTGCCCCCAAATCCATTATGCCAGGCGCTCACTAACAGCTAGCTTTATGATATGATTTCAAGAAAAAATAGATATCCCAAGAAACCAGAAACACCAATCAGAAAGGATATATGCACCCCTATGTTCATAGCAGCACAATTTACAATAGCTAAGATTTGGAAACAGCCTAAGTGCCCATCAGCAGATGAGTGGATTAAAAAACTGTGGTGCATCTACACAATGGAATACTGGGCTGCTATAACAGGAAGGAACTTTTACCATTTGCAACAGCATGGATGGAACTGGAGAGCATTATGCTGAGCGAAATAAGCCAGTCAGAGAAAGATAAATATCACATGATCTCACTCATATGTGGGATATAATGATTACATAATTTGATGAACAAGAATAGATCCAGATACAAGGGGCAGGGGAGGGGGGTTAGAGAGCAACTAAAGGACTTGTATGCATGCATATTAGCAGAACCAATGGACACAGACTCTGGGGCAGTGGGGGCTTGCCTGGGGTGGGAATGGCTGGTCGGGGGAGGAGGTTAAATGGGGAAAAAGAAGACATATGTAAAACTTAAGACAATAAAAAATAAAAATAAAGAAAAAATAGGATTTGGAGGTCCAGATTCTCTGGAACACAACTGTTCATGAAGCAATCAACAGCCAGGCATCATCACTGCCTCTCTTCAGGTGGCTACAGTCCTTTAGATGACGCACCTCTTAATAGTTGTAAACAACACTGGTTTCATTCTGAGACACACCATGGATGCTTTTAACACCCAGGTCTATGTACAAAGAAACCAAAACAAGAAAAGAGGGAAGGCAATGTGAAGTCCTGACAGGGATCCTAGGAGGGAATTCAGCATGAAAAATTACCTGCCTGGCACCACTGTGCTGCCTCTCATTCCCTCCCCTGCCTGTGGCCTGCCCTGAAGGCATTCAGGATGCAGCCTTCCTAAAATCAATGCCCATCAGAGGTTGCCTTTGTTTTCCCACAATAACGCATTCTCTGAGAGAAAATGTTAGCCAGGAGGGATTTTTCAGGGCCCTCTCCTCACGGTGTATGTTTTTTTCCTTTTATGACCTCCTCTTGAGTGAATTCGGGGCCCTCCACACATTTACCCAACTCTCATGAGTGGCATGTCAGGGAGGCAGCCGGCTGCCATCTGCCTTATCTTGGATTAAATCTCCTTATCAACCGGGAGCAGATGGCAGCCATATTGTTGTCTACCTGGCCATACAGAGATACCAGGCATTGCTGCTTTAAGCAAAAAAGATATAAAAATTCCAACAACCTTTCCCCACAAGTTTTAAACCTCGATAATAGAGAAAAATCAGGCCACCGGCCCCTCCTCTCTCCTGAACACGCAGGGATGGTGCAGGGCTGACCTTCAAAGATGTACTGGAACTTGTGCTGCTGCAGGCTGGCACTCATGGCCTCTTCGATGGCACTGATGTCTTTGTTGAGCTTGACCACTAGAGGGTCATAGTCCATGCTTTCCACGTTGGCAACGATGGCATAGTTCCCCTCCTTTGCAAGAGGGATGAGATAGTGGAAACAGTGAACCCTGGAAAAGACAGAGAGATGGGGAGAGCAATGAGCAATTCATCGTTCTGATGAGAATAATGATCTTTTTGTGATAGTGCACTCAAATATTTGCAGAAGCAGTGGCCTGTAAAACCGCATGTGCCCCTCCCCCTTTCACCAGAAAGCCATTTTGGCTACTCCACAGAACAGGTAAGTGATCCTGAGCAAAACACATGGCCGCTGCTATAACACATTGCATTGTGTGTTCACCACCCCAAGTCAAGTCTCCTTGCTTATTGAATCCATACGCTGTGGGGGAGAAATCGATGAGCTCTAAAATCCTTGTCAGTGACAGGACTGCATGCATAGTGTGAAAAGCATTAGATTTTTCAACAGATATTGTTGTAGTAAAAATGAGAGGCAGAAGTTACAGATCTAAAATGTGGAAGCTGTATAATGAGACTGCATTGGTTTCAATTCCCAATTCCAACCCTTATTAGCTGTGTGACTTCAGGCAAGTTATTTTCTCTCTCTGTCTCAGTTTCCGTATCTGTGCAATGGGAATGATAACAATTCCTAAGGAGCTACCACATAGAAAGTGTTTCGCATAGTGCCTGGCACGAAGGAAGTGCATAGTAAGGCTGGATGTCATCACTATTAGCATATTTATTAATGTTAGTCTATTACTTAAATAAAACACTAAAAATTGTGCTAGGCCCTGGGAATGTAAGACTCAATTTGTGTCCTTGAATACGACAGCCTGGTAGGGCTGACCAAGAAAAAATGGCCACAAGAGGGCAGTGTTTCCCCAAGAAGCACATACACTGCCAGTGTCTGGAAAGGGCGTATCTGAATGAACTGGAGGAAGAAGTGCAGTTTATTTCTATGTTGAAATGGCCTGAGTCATTTTGGTTATGCACAATTCTTCATTTCTTTTTATTACATTTTACTGAATTTATTGGGGTGACATTGGTTAATAGAATTATGTCGGTTTCAGCCCTACCACTCTATAACACAGTGGTTCTCAACCTTCCTAATGCCGCGATCCTTTAATACAGTTCCTCATGTTGTGGTGACCCCCAACCATAAAATTATTTACGTTGCTACTTTATAACTGTAATTTTGCTACTGTTATGAATCATAATGTAAATATCTGATATGCAGGATGTATTTTCATTGTTACAAATTGAAAATAATTAAAGCATAGTGATTAATCACAAAAACAATATGTAATTATATATGTGTTTTCCGATGGTCTTAGGCGACCCCTGTGAAAGGGTTGTTCGACCCCCAAAGGGGTCGCGACCCACAGGTTGAGAACCGCTGCTATAACACATTGCATTGTGTGTTCACCACCCCAAGTCAAGGTTCCTTCCATCACCATTTACCCACCCCCCCCACCCTCTTCTATCTGCTCCACCCCCTCTTCATTTATTTTTTGGTAGATATCAGTAACTGCCAAAGATGTTTGAGGTGGGTGAGAACTGGCTACTTCATTACCTTTGTATTACATTGAAATGAAAAGCAAGTTTCAGTCTAAATACCACACACATAGGTATTTATTTAAAAAAGAAAACAGAAACACCATCCATAGTTCACACAGGCCATTCTCTGAGCTCAGGGAAGTCCTAACTCTCTATTGTTTTGGATGCATGTATCCGATGCTCCTGGTGGGAGATATGACACAATTCGGGTCAGGATTCTATTACCCTTATAGTTGGCCTCAGGTAACAAGAAATATTCCTAAACACATGGCCTCAAAAACCTTGGGCATTATCCCCAGCGATGCAAACACAGACTTGACTACCATCGTTCTGTCTAAGTCGAGTTTACTGAGAAATAATTTATAAGCAGGAAAATTCACCCTATTTAGGGTCCTATTCTATGAGTTTTGACAAATGCATACAGTTATGTAAGCACCAGCATAATCATTACAGAATAGTCTTATCACTCCCAGAATTTCCTTGTCCCCTTTGAAGTCAACCTCTACTGACACCCCAAGCTCTTGCAACCACTGATGTATTTCCTGTCCCGTGGTTTCAACTCTTCCAGAATGCCACCTAAATGGAATTGTATAGAATGCCGCCTTTGGAGTTTGGCTTCCTTTACTCTGCGTTAAGGGTTTGAGATAAATCCATGTTGTTCATTCCTTATTATGGCTGAGCAGTCCCCTACAGATGGATGTACCACAATTTCACTCTTCACCAGGTGACATCTGGGTTGTTTCAAGTTTGGGGTGATTATGAATAAGGCTGCTTCATGTACAGGTTTTTGTATACATTTTCATTTCTCTTGGGTAAATACCTAAAAGTGGACTGGTGGGCCATATGGTAGGTGTATGTTTAATTTTATAAGAAACTGCAAAACAGTTTTCCAAAGTAGCTGTGCCTTTTCCTATCCCACCAGCAATGTGCAAAGGTTCCAGTTGCTCCACATCTTCCACCAGCACTTAGTGTTGTCAGTTTTCTTAAATTTTAGCTCTACTAAGGTATAACTGGCACCTTATAGTCGTAAGATATTTAAAGTGTTTTGATATAGGTATACATTGTTAAAGGATTCCCCCATCTAGTTAAATAACACCTTTATCACCTCACATATCTATTCCTTTTTTTAGTGTGAACATTTATGTTCTATTCTAGTAGTAAATTTAAATTACACAGTACAGTGTTATTAACTATAGGCACCATGTTTTACATTAAATCCCCAGGCCTTATTATCTTATAATGAAAGTCTGTACCCTTTTCCCAATCCCTTCCCATTTCCTCCACTCCCCCAGCCACCAATTACTTCTCTTTATTTAGATTCCGCATATACTAATACCATGACTATTTGTCTTTCCTTGTCTGGCTTATTTCACTTAGCAAAATGCCCTCACACATTTGTCAGGTAAAAAAAAAGTGTAGTCATTCTAATAGATGTGTAGTGATATCTCATTGCGGTTTTAATTTATGTTTCCTAATGACTGATGATGTTGGGCATATTCATAGGCTTATTTGCTATGATATATCTTGGTGTTCACATCATTTGCCTACTTTTTTAATTAGGCTGTTGTCTTACTAACTTTTGAGAGTTCATTCTATTTTTTCTGGAGGCAAGTCTTTTATTAGATATGCATTTTGCAAATATTTTCTACCAGTCTTTTCTTTTTTTTCCACATAAAGTTCTTAGTCTATTAATCCTCTCATGAAAAATCTGCAGTCACCACAGATAAAGTCAGAAGAATCTTTATTCCTTCTGTTGTCCAGTCTCCAGCTCACTTTCTGCAGCACCAACATTGGCCTTTGCAGACCCCTGACTTTCTTCATCCTGTTCTTGCCTTCTTTTCTCTGAGCTCTTCTTCTCATATAGGTTATGTCTTGCGAGTCTGTGTTGGGTTCATTTTTCTTTGCATAACCCCAGGAATCATAAATCATGCCAAAGCAAGCTGAAATGCTACCACCAAACATGGGTCCTGAACCCAAACACAAAGGTGAACATCTGCTGTGGTTTAATGCATTTTGGCTACTTTCCCTCGAATTTCTGTCTTAGGTGCTGTTGATGATGGTGAAGGGCGCCAATGATTATTTGTTTCCGCTGAGGTAGTTTGTTGTCATAAACTTCCTGGTCCGGACAGTCTCTGTGTTGCTCATGGATACAGAGGTGCAGCACCTCTGTATCTTTCAAATACATGTAGTGAACTACTGAGTGAAAACAGAAATTCGAGGCAGCCAGGGGGAAAAGAGGCATTTTTCCCCCCCACTTTACCAGTATCTTTCAAAGAATGGTTTTAAATTTTGATGAAGTTCAATTTATCATTTATTTCCTTAATGGACAGTGCTTTAGGTGTTAGATTTAAGACTCTTTGCCTAAGCAAAGTCACTCAATTTTTTCATGTGTTTTTTCTTCTAGAAGTTTTAAAGCTTTAGGTTTTACATTTAGATCTAGAATCTATTTTGAGCTAAGTTGTGTATCGCACGTGCTATATTCTTATAACCTGTTCATGCAAGGGAATCGAAATATCTTGACTAACAGTTCATTTTCATGATGGGGGCTCATCTTAACAGCTGCTAAGCAACTCATGACTAATTGCACCAATAAAAGCTCATTCTGACGTTCACGTGCTAACTGGCAAAATGTACAGTTTTGATCAAGATACCAGTAAATGCACTGGTCACAGAACCCTCTAGAATCTGATTTTCTAATATAATGAAAGTCAATCAACCCTGGAGTAGGATTAATGATGAGGGAAATTGATTGGCACTGTGGTTGAAATTTAAACTAAACAGCTCTTAATTGAAAATAAAATGAAGCCATCAATGCTAAAGTATTTTTATAATAAATTATAAATATTATAACTCAGACAATGGGAAGACCAGGGACAAAGGCCTGTGTGAATGGAGGACAGTTTCAGGGGGTGATGAGCTGCTCCTTCCGGTACACACAGATCACAGGACAGAGCATGAGGTGAGCTTGGGGAGATGGGCAGGGCCAGGTCATCATGGGCGTTGGAGGCCATCTGAGGACGCTGGACTTTGAGAAGCCATTGGGAGCCTCAGGAGGATTTTAGGAGGTGAAATGATATCATTGGATATGAGCTTTGGCAAGATCACTCTGGCACAGGATAAAGGGTGGATTGATGGTGGAGGGTGGAAGAAAGTGGAAGTAGAGACACTACGTACTTAGGACATTGTTACAGATTGGAGGTGAGAGCTTATGAGATCCTGAGGTGAGAGGCGGAAAAGAGAGATAAACACTGTTTTAAGGTACCATCTTCCTCTCCCCAAATGGCCAGAGATGAAAAAGAAATTAAAGTAGTCATTGACAAATGTCAAACTTTTAAAAAGTGTGTTTTTTTCCCTTTTCTTTTGCATTCTGGCATGTTGTTGCTGACCTTAATATGCCTTGGGCATTATGGTTTTCTGCAAATATTGTTGATTGCACAGCAGGATGGTTGATTTTCAGGAAGTGCACACTTAGGATCCCAACAGTGACAGGCGGTGGCTCTTGAACCCACTTGGATTCCTGCTGATGGTGAGAGAATCAGCTGATAAAGGTGACATT